CGAAATAACCAACCACATGCTGCTGCGGGTACCATATGGGGCCACGATTGCGCGGGGAGCGCGCCAAGATGAGGCGGCGCCGCCATGTCGACCACGCCAATGGGGCTTCCAGTGGTACTCCACGCGGGGCCACGAACCGAGTGAAGGGTGCGCCCCAATGGGGCGCAGCCGCCATGTAGACCCTGCCACTGGGGCCTTCGAGTGAGCTCCATGCGGGGCCACGAGCCGTGCGAGGGGTGCGCCCGCATGGGCGGTACCGCCATGGGGCCATGCCACTGGGGCCTTCGGTGGACCTCCATTTGAGACAACGAAACGTGTGAGGGGTACGCCCAAATGAGGCGGCGCAGCCACGTGGACCTTGATCCAGCATGGATCCTGGCACGTCGGCGGGCCTGGCGAAAGCATAAATGTATCCAAGAATTTAGGGTCTTGTCCGAGCCCATCGATATCCTCCTGCGTGAATGCATAATCTTCATCGCCACCCAGACTTATTCATGGTGAGACTCACGCACGCCCCGTTCGTGGCCGTTTTGCGGGGGTGCCTCAAGCGGTTTGCCTGTCTTCTGTCCCAACATCCTTGGCTACCAGAGCAGACTGTGAGGATGTCTCAGGCGGGACGCTGGTTTCAGCCCCCCCTGACGGAAACCACCACGTGTTATTTCACTGTCCCATTCGCGGCCGTTTTGTGGAGATGTCTCAAGCGGTTTGCCTGTTTCCTGTCCCAACATCCTTCGCTGTCGGAGCAGATTTGGAGGATGTCTCAAGCGAGGCGCTCATTCTCACCCCCCATAGGGGGAACCGCCAGGGCTTATCTCACGGTCCCGTTCGGGGCCGTTTTGTTGGGATGCCTCAAGCGGTGTCCCTGTTATCTGTTCCAACATCCTTCGCTTTCGGAACAGATTTGGAGGATGTCTCGAGCGTGGAATGGGAGGTGCGCGCGAATGAGGGGGGGAAGGGGCAATGCGGCGAGGAGGAGGAGGATGAGGCGGAAGGCGTGGATGACACGGGGAAAGGGAGGGGAGGGATAACGAGGGCGGTTGAGGGGGGCGAGGGAGTGGGAGAACACCAGGATGACGAAGGCGAAGTAGGATGAGAAGGAGGAGGAGGATAACAGGAGAAAAGGGGGGTAACGTGAGGAGGCAGGGGATTAGTATGATGGCGAAGTGGGGCGACGGGGGGTAGAAGATAACAAAAAGGAGGGGTCATGCCGCATTCAATTTCCTCTGGCCCTTTCCGGCCGTTTTGCTGCGATTTGGGCGGTTCTTCGGGTGGTGCCGAGCGCTCTAATACCCAGAAGGGCGAGAGCGTGACGTTCCTTTTCATTTTCTTGTGTCTGATCAGTTTGATGGCGCCCGAAAAGCATCCTCGCTGACAGCGCGCGGTATTTTTTGGGAGCTCTTGGATTGTCCTCGGGTTGGTGTGAATCATTTTGGGCCGCATGGGCCGTCGCATCGTGATTGTCTCTATGAAAAATGATCACCTTCAGCGGTGTCGGCCGTCGTTGGGGGCAGTGTGCGCCGCCATGGCAGTTCGCATCAATGCAGAGGACGTTTGAATGACATAGGGCCGATGGGGGGGGGGGCGGCATATTTGGGAGCAGTTGCGACGATTGGTATGGCCGAGCCGCCCTCATTCTAAATATGCGACGTGCTCGTTATTTTTTGTTTTTTTTTCCAGGGCGTGCTGTCAGCAGGGGGAACGCCGCGCGCCTGGATTCCCCGATGGGAGCTCGCGGATTGGATTTTACAGTGCGACTGGGGCCACAGTCCGTTATCACCGCGTGATGTTCACCCCGCGCGGATGGCGTTGCATGTCAGACGGGTAATCCCCATCGAGGGTTTGGTGCAGTTTGCATTTTCGCCATATCCTAAGCTGTTTTTTTGTTATTACTTGGACGCCTCCTACTCCTTCTCACTCTTCTCCTGCCCTCTCCTCTTCATGCCCCGACTTACTCATATACAGACTGACTCGCACTCAGACTAACTCGTACACATATTCACACACAAATACCTACTCATACTCATACCTACTCATGCTCAGACCTGCTCCGACTCAGACTTACTCATGCTGAGACTCACGCGCGCCCCGTTCGCGGTCGTTTCGTGGGGATGCCTCAAGCGGTTCGCTTGTTTTCTGTCCCAGCATATTTCGCTATCGGAGCTGATTTAGAGGATATCTCGAGCGAGGCGCTAATTTTCACCCCCCTTACGGGAGCAGCCAATGGTTATCTCACGGTCCCCTTCGCGGCCGTTCTGTGGGGATGTCTCCAGCGGCTTGCCTGTTTTCTGTTCCAACATCCTTCGCTTTCGGAGCAGATTTGGAGGATGTCTAGAGCGAGGCGCTCATTTTCACGTCCCTAAGGAGCCGCCGAGGGGTTATCTCACGGTCCCGTTCGCGGCCGTTTTGTGGGGATGTCTCAAGCGGGTTTGCCTGTTAGTTGTCCCAACATCATTCGCTTCCGGAGCAGATTTGGAGGATGTCTCGAGCGAGGCGCTCATTGTCACCCCCCTAAGGGGATTCAAATATTCACTGCGTGGGGCTCCCCATATGCGCATTTATTCCCATGGACCTGTCCGCCGTGAGAATCTAGGTGCAAAAACTTTCGAGTATAAACGGGTTTCAGTTGTGACGGTCTGGTCATGAATCTAACTGAGAATCAATTGGAGTGTGAATGAGCCTCAGTAGTACGAACGCGTCTCTGCGCATGACCCTGGGTCCTCCTGGGGCCTCCTGGGGCCTCCTGGGGAACTTCTGGGGCTTCTTGGGGCCTCCAGGAGCCTCTTTGGGCCCCCTGGTGCCTCCTGGGACCTCCTAGGGAGGATTCGTGCCCGAGGAGAGGCCCAATCTATAGGAACAGTCGCACATAAAACATTGCGACTTGGAGCCGCAGAAAAAAAGGGCAATCTATAGGAACACGCGTACAACACCAAGGAGTCGTGCCCTAGGAGAGGCCCTATAGGAACATAAGTACACAGGATATGGACAATCTATAAAAACATACGTATAACATCAAGGATTCGTGCCCCAGGTGAGGCCCAATATATGAGAGCATCCGTAAAACACATGGGATTGGACCCACCCCTGTTGCCTTCTGAGGCCTCCTGCTCCTGGGGCCTCTCGGGGCCTCCTGTTGCCCTCCGGAGACCTCCTGGCGCTTCCTCTGGCCTCCTGGGGCCTCCTGTGGCTTCCTGAAGCCTCCAGGAGCTTCCTGGGGCCTCCTAGAGCCTCTTGGGGCATCCTGTGGCCTCTTGGGTCTTTCTGTGGCATCCTGATTCATCCTGGGACCTCATGTGGTCTCCTGGGGCCTCTTGGAACCTGTTGGAGCCTCCTGTGGCATCCCGAGGAAAACCAGCGCCCACGAGTCTGGCCACCGATCGAGACATCCTCAAAATCTGGCCCACCTGGGGGGGTGAAATGGAGCGCCTCGCTCGAGACATCCTCCAAATCTACTCCGAGAGCGAAGGATGCTGGGACAGAAAGCAAGCACGACGCTTGAGACATCCCCACAAAACGGTTGCGAACGGGACCGTGAGAGAACCATTGGCGGCTCCCCTTAGGGTGGTGAAAATGAGCGACCCCGCCAGTCCTCCTGCCAAGGGAACCTGGCTGTGGTTTTCGGCGACGCACCAGCGCCCTTGGCTAACAGCGTTGCAACGCACGCGCTGCATTACGCGGAAGTAGTAAGATGATATGTTTCTGACATGATGCGTGGGCGCGCACGGCGCGGGCCTACATGGCGCGTCGAAGGCGCCTGACACACGCCCGCGATACTATTCACGACCGAAATCGGAAAATTAGCTCCGGCGGCGCACATGCGGTGGGACACGCGTGCGTTCGGCATCACCCGCGCGAGGTGGCTAACAATTTCGCGGCGTTGCGCTAAAAATGCCATTGTGCCCAACATCGTTTCGAAGCGCGCTGCGGTGCGCCGCGCAAGCGCGCGTGGACTGCGGCCTGCATGCGGCCCGCGCACTAGTGCGAGCGATTGAATCTGAAAGGGCAAGGCGCGGCACGTGCGCCATGAAAACGCGGCACACGGCGGAAGCAGTTACGAGAAGGAAACTCGCGCGATTCGCGTGCCTCCGTCGACCGAAATCGCTAAATCAGGGCAAGCGATCGGCGACGACCGCGTTTGACGCCACCAATAAATACATGAAAAAATGCAAAAACAAATTTGTCGAGGCCCTCGTTTTGTTTCCTGGTGGGCGCAACACCTGAGACGCGCGCCAGGGGCGGCACAGGAGGCGCCGCCGGGGGGCCCAGCGCAGATCCAAGAAATCCGCGCGGAGCGCCAACAGTTTCTGTTTATGGCGTTCTCTATTCTTCGAGTTTGGGCCCTCCCCCGGGCGTTGGCAGAACCGGGCTTAGTGGGACCTGGTTTAGTGATGTGTACCGGGGGACGCCCCCCCGCCCCGTTCCACTAACCGGAACTGCCCTCACCCGAGAAAACACCAGCTGCGGCAAACCTGGTGTAGTGATTCTGGCCGATTCAGGGGCTCCAGGGCCCTACCGCTAACCGGGTCCACTTACCTTAGTTGTGGAAGTTAGGTTTAGGAATGGTTCTAGTTGTGGAAGTTGCATTCTAGTTCTTGTTTCTACTAAAAAACAACATGTGTTTCAATGTTTCGTTACATATATATATATATATATATATAAAAGAAAACATGCGTTGCGAACATAGGTGTTCTACACACATTCTTATTTTCAAAACAGAGAAATGCGTTATGTCTGCCCCCCTCGGGCGAAGAGAACTATGCACATGCACCGATCCTGGCAAGGTCCATCCTTGACCCAGGATCGGTGCATATGCCTTCCTGGCCACGGTAGGAGGGCGTGTGCACCGATCCTGGGCTCAGGATGGGCCTGGCCAAAATCGGTGTATGTGCATAGCTCTCTTTCCTCGACCCCCATAGCGTTGCACCCGGCCTATCGCCACCCGCCCGAGTCGGCGGCCGTCGCCGTCGGCGGCGGCGGCGGAAGCGGCCCGCCCCGGCCGAGACCCTCGGCGCGCTGCTGGGCCGGGAGGGCTGCACGTCGATGGGCGGCGGGCCGGGCGGAGGCCTGCGGGCCGGGGGGCGGCCGCGGTGCTCTCCTCCTTCAAGACATGAAGGGCTCAAGGACACGCAAATAAATAACCCCAGGAAGCATTTAAGAACCCCCCCGGCGATATCGTAGCACCGCATTCTTTATTCGATATTACCGAGGGGCCGAAATAACCGAACGATAGCTTTAGCATCCGGACGCTTCCAGCAACCGAAGATACACCAGGTAACGCTTCCAGGGTGCGGAAGGGTTATCGATTTGCCAGAGGGGGGGGGGGTTCTTAAATGCTTCCTGGGGTTCCCCATGCTTTCCCATCTTCGGCCGGGGGTCGGCGACGAACTGTGCCTGTGTGTGGTTCTTTCCCTCCCGAAGGAAGTCCGCAGGCTGTGCGCGCCCGGGGGTTTCTGGGGTCGAGCCGCCAAAATCGACCAACAGACACAACAAAAACGCCCAGCGCGCGCTTCTGCCCCCTCCCCGCCCCCCCTCCTTCCCTTCCACACGCCTCCCCCCCCGTCGTCCTCGTCCGTCTGCAAGGAAACAAAAAACGCCAACAGAAACTGTTGGCGCTCCGCGCAGAACGCCAGACATTTCTGTTCAACTGTGGCGTTTTTTCCGCTTTGACTGTCGCCCGTCGGTCATGCGTCGGTCGCTCTGCATGCGCTGGGGGTGTTTTCTCCCTCTTCTGCCCCCGATGCATGCGCTGGTTGTTGGCGGGCTTTCGCCTGGTTGTGGCGGGCGCAGGCGCATCGTGGCCAGTCCGTGCGCCGGCCCTGGTGCGGGGGACCTCGCCCGGCTAGCGGCCTCTGGGCGCCTCGCGCTGCCTGCAACACGCTGCTTGCCTCGCGTAGCTTGCGCCACTTCGCTGACACAACTCTCAAAGCCTACACCGCACAGCGTGCACCACACTGCTTTCACCACGCACAGCTCTCACACAAACACACAAAGACACAAACACACCCAAACACCACACACATACTTGTTTCGTCGGTGGCTGGGCAGAGGAACTGCGTTGGCGGATAGGGCGCTGGTAGGACATACTGACACACACACACACACACTCAGCCTGCGCACGTCGCCTGCAACACACACACACACACAGCTCGCACAGGATGGCTTGCACCACATTGTTTGCAGCGCGCACGGCTCCCACTTACACCACAGAGCTGCACCACGCAGCCCAACAGGTCTGGTTTCCCCCTCTGAGTGTGCGTGGTCCTCCCGTGGCGCCAAGGACGTCCAGGACGTCCACTGATTTTTGGTGTGGGAACGCCACGCCTTCCATGGCAAAACCATCGAAACCCAAGAAGAAATCCAGGGCACCCTGAAGGCAAGCAGGGTGGTTCTTGGCACGGGTTCCCGCTTTGCTCCCTCTGCCCCCCTCCTCCGAAAGAGCGCCAAGGCAAAAGCTGGCCCGGCGCGAACGAGGACACCAGCGGCCTTCCGCGGGAGCCTACGCGGGCCGCCAGCGCGGCAAGCTGCACGGAGAAAAGCGGGGACGCTTGCGTGTGCACCCCTGCGCGGGCAGCCTGCGCACGCGCCACTGTCCGCGCCGCTGCGCCCGGCGCCGTCTCGTCGCCCCGGCGGTGGCGGTGGCGACTGGCATGGCCTGGGGGTGCGCAGCCCCGGGCCTGGCATCTCAGGGTCCAGAGGAGCCGGCAAACACCACCGTCGCGAGCGGCCAGGGTGGGCCCAGCCTGGTGGCGTGGTCCTCCCCGCCCTGCGGCGTCCCACTCGAGACACCGTGGGAGCCCGACCACGAGAGACCCTCCACAGGAAGCCCAGCCCCGAGACCCCCAGGACGTCCATCGATCTCGTTGGCGCGGGACGTCGCGTCTTCCGAAGCAAAAAAAAGCTCCCCCGAAGCACAGGAAGCCCAGGGCACCCTGGAGGCAAAGGCAGGGCGCTTCTTGGCATGGGCCTCCGCTGCAAGGGCGCGCGAGGAGGCCGCAAAGGGCCCTGGAGGGCCACGCCTCGAGACCCTGCGGGCGGGGCGCGGCGAGCGGCAGCGGCCAGGGATGGGCCGACGGTGCAAGACCTCAGGTCGGGCATGTCCTCCTGCAGGCGGATCCTGGGCGAGAAAACACGAATATCCCAAACATGCGAATCCCCAAAAATACGAATACAAACATGCAAACAAATCAATACAAAAAATACAATGAATACGAATCTGCACATCGTCCCCGGACTATTTTGTACGATGTTTGAATAATTCTCCCCTGTAGAGGGACACGCCCGCCTTCAATACAACCTCGGAAGGTCGCTCAGCCTTCCTGTGCGGGTTGACTGTCAACGCGGCTCCCTCGCCCGACCCTGCAGACGTGCTGCAGCGGATTTGTGCGTGGATATATGTCAACGCAAACCCCGAAACGGCGAGCGAAAAACAAAATATTTCACGTGGATGTTTTGTTGTCTTCGCTCCTGACCCAAGAAATCAATACGAAATGCACGAACTTCACTTCGAAATCCAGCGTGAGACTCTCCAGGACAATCCGGGCCCATTCCATCGTGTTCCGAGCGAAGTCCGCTCTGCGATGTTGGTACCATGACCCCTCCCCTTGGCACGCCCGATATAAGCAAGGCAAGCAAATGTGGACGACGCCCGGCAGCGAATGATACCCAACACCGGCAACGGCCGACGTCGGGCAAGCGACGCTTGCCCCGAACAGAGCGCCCGCGGGAACGACGACAGCGAACCCTGCTCGAAAGGCCCAGGAACTGCCACGACTACGACCCTTCCGCATGAAAATGTCTGTTCCACAAAGATGATGCTACCACCCACACACAATACAAACATGGCCGTATACGCACTCGTTACTCTCGTACCTTCAAGGGTGGGTCATTCGGAAGCAGGGCGAGGACTGGCAAATCCGTGGCTGCCAAAACGGTTTTCCCGGAAGAAAACACTTTCCCGGAATCAAGCTCGGCACACTACATAGTAAACGGGCTGCTCCCCCGAAGACAGAAACAGTAACTTCCCCGGAGCTCCGTTTTAGCACAGCCACGGGTTTGCCAGCCGTCGCCCGGCGTCTCAGCCCTCGTGGCCATCAGCCTTCGTCCCAATGCTGCTGGTCTTCCTCTGGCGTGCCACAAGCGGGTCGCAAGGTGAGCGGATCCTGGGTCCTGGACCCCAGGGCATTCCCCAACACCAACTCTCCGTCCCGGGTCGGTGTTCGACAGTCGCCGGAGAACGGTGAGCCACCATCAGGACCCGTTTGCAAACTCCCGACGTCGCGTTCTTTCTTGCAACGTGGACCCCCTTCCCCAGCACTGGCTTTTCCTCCCGGATAGCTTTTTTACAATCACGGGGCCCGCCCACCAGAGGCATACGCCGAAGAAAACGGCCCCGTTTCAAAAACGTCGGAGATCTGGGATCCCGCTTGCCGGGGGGGGGGCACCCCTCCCTGGAAGAAGCTTTCAGCTCAACGTCGTCGTCGTCATCGCCGTCGCCGTCGCCGTCGCCGTCGCCGTCGCCGTCGCCGTCGTCGTCGTCGTCGTCGTCGTCGTCGTCGTCGTCGTCCTTCGAAATCGGAGGCAACGTCCGAACGGCCCTCACGATCGCCGGGCTTACAACATGTCGGAGATACGGGACCCCGCTTGATGGATGCTGAACCATTTCCAGGCCTACAAGATGCCCAGATGGGGTCGGAGTAGTCGGGGCCGGAGGATCGCGCCGCACCGCCGATGCATCGGCGATGCATCGGCGACGTCGGCGAGGAGAAAGTCGGGCTCCACATCGAACCGCATCGCCGATGCATCGGCGATGCGGCGTGATCCTCCGACCCCACCTACACACCTGGACCCCATCTGGCAGGCCGAGACCACTGTGGTCGTACCCGATCCTCGGCCTCCTCCGCAGACGCCGCGCGGGGGCTCGGGGGGCCTCGGCTGCGGCGGGGGCGGCATGCCGCCGCCTGGCCACCCGCCCACCATACCCTCTCGAGCACCACCCCGCCCACGAGTTCGGTGGCAACTCGTGGCAGCCTCCCATGACATCTTGCTGGCTCGTGCGGATCGACGCTGACCGACGCTAGTCGACGCCAATCGACGCCAAAGCGGCGCTAATCGATGCCAAATCGGCGCTTTCTCATCGATGGCCAGACGCTAGCGCGCGCTAGTGCACTCTAATTACGGAGCCCATACGACATACAAGGCTCCCACTATCGGGGCTCAACAGACGGGGGGATCAATGCAACCGGGGGTCAGCCAGAGCGCCGGATCTTACAAGATCCTGCTGAGCCAGGGGTGCACTGACCCGGGCTTGGGTGCAGGATAGCGCAGGATCCTGCGCACTGCAGGATCCTGCAGGATCCTGCAAAGCCAGACTGGCCCGGGTTTGGATTGAGCCGGGTCGGTCGATCCCAACATCGTTTGGCACGGGACACGAGGGCCGGGCGGGGGAGGCAGGAACACGTGAGCGACGAACATATCCGCATCCAGGCCCTCGCGGTCCCCGGAGCCCCTCGAGACGTGCGAGAAGCAAGACGGGGTGTGTTTTTGGCCGTCCTCGGCCTCGAGGGGCCTCGCCGATACTTAGGACCGTCAAACAGAACACTCGGAGCCAGGACTTCCGAGGACGGGGGCCGCGTATAGAAAACAAAAGAGCATCGTGTGGCTGGATCCATATTCATGTGCTCTCGTGGTCTGGACACATGGGCACGCGATCCCACAATTCCCCACTCAGTGCTTGCACTGAAGGGGTCCTAGCGGATGTTGAAAGATTTGGCGAAAATGCCTGACCGATTTCGGTTGGCGGCCGGGTTATCCCAGGTTCCCAATTCCCGGTTCCCGGGTTCCCGGCTACTGGTTCCAGGCCGGTTTCGGTGGGCGGCGGGGTTCCTGGGTTTCCGGGTTCCTGGTCGGTCTCCTCATCGATCGATCTCACCATAGATCTCATTACCCACCTCTCTATCGACCCCATTATCGATCTCACAATCGATCCCCCTATCGATCTCACCATGCATCGCACGAGCGATTTCACGATCGATCTCACTGAATCGACTTCACGATCGGTCTCGCTATCGACCTTGCGAGCGTCCGCACTATGGA